GGAATGCCATGGACTGTGACCACAGCAGGGGACATGCAGATACACTACAGTGCCCGGGAGGCAGGAGGCCTGGCCTGCAGTCTCAGCTCTGTCACTGACGTGCTGTGTGACATCAGGCAGGCATCCTCCTCGCTCTGGGCCTCAGTTTCCCCACTGTGCAATGAGTCCTGATCCCCTGTCCTACGCTGGCTCGCTGACGTCCTCTAGCTGTCACCAACAGTCAGAAATATCTGAGCATGCTCCCCCCAGGAGCACATCTGAACACGGAGGTGTGGGGTGGTGAGAATGTCAAAGGCAGGAAGTGTTCATGGGGGTTTTCAGGCACTGGGGGGGGGGACCTCTCAAGGCAATGGCAGGAGACCAGCCTGAGGCTTCCAGCATCATTTCTCCTAAGGCCTCAGGCCTTGCAGTTCCTCCTGAGTGAGAATGGAGGGACCCTCAGGGCAAAGTCTCCAAGAAGTTGAGCCATGTGAGGAGGAAAAAGCCAGTACTCGGGTCTGTGCCAGGAACCTCCCTTGTGGCTCAGCACAGGGGCCCTTCCAGAGTGTGGGAACCCCACAGGGGGCACGGACCAACAGTGGGCTCCAGAGAGGAGCAGGAGGTTGTTTTGGCCGTAGGAGCAGCTCGCCCTGCACCCCCACCCCCCACCCCAGGCTCAGGCCTCTCCCAGGGACCTAGCCTGAGCACTAGCCACCCTGGGGTGGTCCCGAGACCCCCAACCTTGCATGACAGAGTGTTTCCCTCTGCTGTTAATTAGGTCAGTTACACTGACTAAGGTCTCAAGTCGTGCTGCTGGGAGCATGTCTTCCCCCACAAGCAAAACCTGCAGCCATTGTTAAAGTCTGCAGAAAGCCAGGAGATAGGAGTGAGAGAGAAAAAGATGAGCCTCCTCCTTCTTCAGAGGGTCCCACCACAAAACTGAAGTGCCCCACCAGCAGAGCTCCAGGTTTGCAAGGAAAATGCTCTCTAGCCAGGTATCCTAGGGCGACTCTCAAAGGTGCTGGGAGGCAAGGAGAGGGTTGACCTGCTTCGCTGAAGGTGTCAGATGGCGTCTATACCACACAGCTCAGGGGAGGGTGGCTCCCTTCAAGACCAAGCCCTCAGGACTTCCAGATGGGGGCTTCATGGGGGATAAGACCTCTCACTGTAAAACTAGTCCCAAGAGGTCAGTGTCAGCCCCTTCCCAGCCTGACGACCTACCATCCCTTCCCCAGCCTCAACAGCCCTGCACCAGCTGGGGGAAGCCAACCTAGGCCTGCAGACACCCCTGCTGCACCCCGCCACACTGCAAAGCACTTGGCCCATCTGCTAATGAGCCCTGGGCCCTGGGAAAATGGCTTAGCTTCTAGGGTGCTCTTGAGCTGTGTACACTCCACCCAGCTGCACCGCACATCACTCAAAGGCAGCTGCGTCCACTTGGAGATGCCGCAGACAGGTATCCCCATTCACGCACATGGTGTGCAAACACCCCTCTGTACACACAGCACCGTCCCCTTTCATTGAATCTCTTGGGAAAAACAAAGCCAAACCAAAAAACTGTGGCAGAGAGAGGCCACCAAGGGCCACGTGGCCCTGTGCACATACAGCTAATGATACTCCCAGGCTGGAGGAGTTTCTAAAATTAACAGAGCGGGTGCAAGGTGTCTGCGAACGCTGGCTCGGGCAGCCCGCCACTCCGGCGGGCTTCTACTCTCCCAGCTCCACTTCTCTCAATTACAGACCAAATTCGAGACAGTAATTAACAGGAGAATGTTTGCATTTAGTGGTCTTCATAAACCTAAATTGCATGAGGCAAAAACACCCATTTCCTTGCATTCTGACTAATTATTTCAATCTTCAGCTGCCAGATGCTCAGGGTTGTTTCTGGAGCCTGATCTGGGCTGGGGTCGGAATGCTGGAGCCGTCTCCCTACAAACGCCACGCTGGAGGGTCACGGGGCTGCTCGAGAGGCAGTGTGACACGCAGGAAGAAGCATGGGCTCTGGAACCAGCCAGTGTGGTTTGATCCCTGCTCCATCTCACTACCTAGTCAGTAAACCACCCCCAGCTGCAGTTTTCTCATCTGCTCCATCAGGACATGCCCGAGTCTAGCAGAACTGTTATCAGAATGAGCCGAGCTGACATCTGTAAAATGCTCTCGCCTCTGCCCAGCCATGTTATAAAATGAGTAAATAAATAATTGAAGTCAACAAACTGGCAGGAAAAAGTTGACAGAGGAGGAAGCTTAGATACCCCAGAGGCCAGCCAAAACAATGCACCTCCTAGGAGTGGGACTGGAGGGGAAGCTTTAAAGCCCCAAGACAGCCAGAAGCAGAAGGCAGGGGCTACACCATGCCCCAACCCACCAGATGTCAGGACCTCTTTATCAGCACACAGGTGCCCTGACCTCGGAAACTCACAGTGGTCAGAGGACAAAGCTTGCGGAGACGTAAGAAGCCATCCTAGGTATCTGAAAAGATGGGCCCCTGAAGACCTAGAAGGGGGCTGTAAGGGACACACGTCCAGAGATGAGAGGAGCTGGGCCTTGGGACCTGCCCTGGGTCTCGTGGATGACCCTTCCTTACGCTGCCAAAGCTCCCCAAGCTCTGAACATCTGGCTCTGCCAGAGCCAGAAATGGCGTTCAGCACCACGGACAGCACCCGGCACCGTGGCCACAGGCCCAGCCCGCCGTGGTTGCCAACCCCCGTCCTCTGGCACCGCCGGCTCTCTGGCCTTGTTCATTGCCAGACCTGCTGTTCTGGATCATCTCGAGTGATTGTCTAAGGTCCCGGGGCATTTTCACTGGGAGCTCCTGGGTGACTGAAAACCTGTGTTCACGAAGACCCCAGAGCATGTTGCCACAGAGCACGTACTTCCTGTGTTGTTAGCTCACCTCGCCCTCGCACCAGCACTGCGCTGCTGCTGGAGTTTACTGCCGTGATGCCGAGGCCCAGAGACAAGCATTCTCCCGAGACCACACAGCTTGTGAGGGGCAGAGACAGACCCACAGACATCTTTGGGACTCCACCTGCTCGGAATTTGAGGCCCATGCTGGGCATGGCAGGCAGACCAGCCTTCCTTTCCGGCCCCCACGGACCTCCCCAGCAGTTGCCATCTCGTCTGGCTTCTTCTGTGGTGGCGTCTGGGTCTGTCCGGATTCAGCCCTTTTCCAGCCTCCTTTCTCT